TGTACGGTGAGTAAGTTAGCTTTGGTCCACGAGGGTGAGAAACATTAGACATTAGAGCAAGAGAAAAGAAATCCGGCGTGTTGGGAAGGGTGGTGGAGATATAAGTATAAGAGACGGCCATGCATGGCATGCAATGAATGGGTTTGGGAGATGGTCCAAAGCAGTTGTATTCCCAGGGTCCTATAGTCCCCGGATGCCAGGGGATTGGAGGGTTTGGGAGATGGTCCAAAGTGATGAAAGGCATTAGGGCTTGTTCTCTTTCCAGGCAGCAAGGTTCTGCTGATGGCGAGCCGACTTCTCGTGGCGGGTGAGATTGCTCTTGTTGTGGTACCCGAGATTGCACGGCTTGCAGACGAAGGGATTGTTTCCCTCCTCAGACTTGCGGAGGTGCTTGGGCGTCTTTTGATGATCACTCAATCTCTGCTTCGTGCCGAAGGGAATGTCACAGACATCGCAGTGGAACGTCTTCTCGGTGAGTGCCTTAGTGATCTTGTTTGCTTGATACTGAGCATGTTGACCCGGTCTGTTGGCCCGTGATCTGTACACTCTGACTTTGGAGGCCTCGATGTACTCTGCGTAGTTTTCGGCCATTTGTCGATAGTGCCAACTCTGGTTGTTTTCGGCCTTGAGAATGAGTCGTTTCTGCTCTCTCTCTTTTGCTTGGTCCTCGAGTTGTTGAGCGTTCAGGTCGAACGACGCGCGTACACCCTCATTCAAGGAGCAGTGCGTGCAACATCCGTCGTAATCGAGGGCGTGGCGGTTCCAGAAGCAGACGTGGCCCATGCTGTAGTCTCTCTCGCGTGACTTCATGGCCCAGAATGCGTATGCGAACGTAGCTTCAAGAATGAGGAAGAACAATCGATTGACAGGAACGCCAGCAGCAGCCGGGCGAAGCATCCAGCAGAGAAGACCTTTATGGGTAATGGTGAAACCATGGTCGAGAGAAGCCTTTACGAAGCGGGGGACGAGGAAACCATCGTCATACTGTTTGAACCGTAGAGCAACGCCGCCAGCCGTTGGGGTGCCATACGATGTTCCAGAACCCACATACAGGCGAGGCCGGAATCCAGGCCTCTCCAGGGTGAGGGCATAGACTCCCCAGCAGGAAGGGGGACCGAGGGGCAGTGTTTTGAAGTACTCGATCGATGGGGGATCAGAGGATTGGAGGATGTCCAATAACCCGGCGGGGAAGCGGATGCCAGCCTCAGCCGCTGTTCTTTGGAGTTCTTCCATATCAGGAAAGTAACGAGCAAAGTACG